CCGATGCCAATTTTACATGGTTGCGAGCCGACCTTTGTAACAACACATTAGTGAACGAAGTCACCATCTACTTCAGAACTGACTGTAAGTTGAAGTCACAGGATATTGCGTTTGGGGAACCAACGGTCCATCTGACGTCAAGGAAGGTCGCTTGGCCGTAGCAATATTCAAATTACGAAATTCAAAGATTATATTTAACTTTATCGAACTTTGATTTATCAATGCTATGAAAATAATTGTATGTACTGCACATATTTATACGGTAGAAGAATTTTAAAACAAATGCGCCAATACATATTGAAACGTTAGTTTTAACAACAACACATGTGTTTAACGCCGCAGTAATATCACACAGCTACATTGGGGTTGCTGGCTGGCTGACTGTGTACAAACGTACCCATCGTCCTAGATCGTCACTCATACTGGACCCGTGAAGATCCGGGGTTCAATAGGTCTTCAGCAACCCAGGTTTGCCGTAAAAGCCGACTATGCTTGTCGTAAGAGGCGACCAACGGGATCGGGGTGTCAGGCTCACTGACTTGGTTGAAGCATGTCATCGATCCCAATTGCTTGGAACGATGCTCATGATGTCAGTCACTGGATTTTGCGTTCCAGACACGATTATTTACAGACCGCCGTCATATAGCTGGAATCGCTACAAACCACATTAAGTCGAACCACTTACCCTTTGGGATATGTTGCATTATTTAACGGAGATGAATTTTCTTCAAGATACAGTTGGCCGATCTGAAATCCAGGTTCATCTGACAAATAGCTCAGACACTATACCAAATGGTCACACCTGCAACAACGTCACTGGCAAAGCTAATGGAACAGTGACAAGTGTTACATGTGCCACATACGGGCGCTTCCTCCTCTTGTACTCCTCTTTTAAGGGCACAAACTTGACAACACCAAGGATGGTCTTATGTGAAGTGGAAGTTAACGGTAAATATCAAATGGTTACTAGTGAATAATAGAATTAATACAAGTAATAGGAACTTATGGCCTTATTATTTCAAATACATTATCGGTCAAAACAGCTAGAGTAAAATATGTATGTTTAGGATTTCAATAAGGCCGAAAGTTTAGTCCCGTTTATTGCGATTATAGCAGTATAGAAATAAACAGGAGACGGGACAGTAAATGTGGTCATGTATTTAAGGAATCCAGATTAATCAGGGTCCGGTTTTGATATATTCCACTGTTCATGTTTCAGTATGTGGGCCCGGCACCTATGGTAACGAGTGCAGTGAGTACTGCCACTGTGATAGTGAGGCGTGCAACTACATCGACGGGGTCTGTCCTTCAAGAGTTTGCCAGCCAGGGTGGCATAGAACGCATTGCAATCAAAGTAACGTGTCCATGCGTATACTCTTAGGACTATTATTGTTATGGCTTCGTCGAGTATATCTACCTCTGTATTTGTGTATTTGTATATTGCTACCTCGAGGAGCATCAGTGATGGAACACGAAGCCAGGACGCCGTTGGACAAAACAACCTTAGCGCTACGACTGTCGTAAGCCTATGTTAAGGTATAGGAGATACGATCACCTTATCGCTAAGATCGCTTTGTACAACGGCACCCAGGTCTCCAGAAAAGATGACGAGTGATTTAATTAATATTAATGAACGGATGTGATGATGCTACGGAGAATGATGAGCTTTTGTTTGGGTGCAATGCCTTGTGAGAATATATATTCCATTTTCTTTTCTGACGTGTAATTATCAGATGCCAGTTATATATACGTCTGATTTTAGGTAGCAATTCTGTATTTTTGCCACTGCAATTAACTGATTATGTGTTTATGACGTTTCAGTTTGCGATAATGGAACGTACGGGATCAACTGCTCCGGACAATGTGGAGAACGAAACTGCTCAAATGGCAACTTCACTTGTGACCACGAAACAGGGGAGTGTGTTGGGGGCTGCAACACAGGGTGGGGCGGAACAGACTGTACAAAGGGTATGGTCATGTTTCATTCATGATTCAAGAAGCATGTATGCATTTATGGTTCTGTTACGATTATGACACCGAGCGTTGTAAAATATGTTTTGCTGGTCGAAAATATATATAGTGTGCACGTAGCTGAAAGATTTAATATTTGGCTACATGCAACCCGTGAAGATCCGGGTTAGAATAAGTCTTCAGCAACCCATGCTTGCTGTGAAAGGAGACTGAAGGGATGGGGTGATCAGGCTCGCTGCCGTGGTTGGTGCAAATGGTTGTGTACGTGACAAGTGTCCGTACAAGGTGTGACTTATTCTTGGTGTTCGCAGGTTGTGATGCAGGCCAAGAATATGGTGCAGGGTGCAGCAGAAATTGCAGTGACCGGATGTGCGAGAAACACAGCAACTGTTCCGAGTTGACTGGGCAGTGTGAGGGCGGATGTCAGCCAGGGTGGATGGGAGAGGACTGCTATGAACGTGAGTAGGATTAGTACATGCAGGTGTGGACCTGTTTGATGGGAATCTTCTTTCCGAGGCAAGGGCGTTTAATGGCTATAAAAGTCTAGTTTCCGGCCTTTCGAACTTGTCTGGAACTCTTGAGTTACATTTTGGCTGGACTAAGGAGTCTATGCATAGTCCAATCACAATTGTGTAACGAACAAGACATCCGGTTCTTAGACAACATGGATTTCAACATGCACATTTCGGTCGTCTGCAGGATTTGCAAAGCATGTGTGCCGTCGACATATATTTTGTAAATTGTTTAATGTTTTTAATCAAGGTGCTCAAGTGATATGATGCACTTCGCGAGGTAAGACCTGTTTTATTACAATATATATCTTGATTATTGATCAGATCGCCTTGACTGGGCGCTGCCATTTTGTTTGAAGCAGTGGGAACGGTGTAGTCTCCCTATACATATGGTGGAACGGTGAAGTCTCCCTATACATATGGTGGAACGGTTTCCCGCCCCTATACAAATGGGGGAACGGTGTAGTCTCCCTATACATATGGCGGAACGGTGTAGTCTCCCTATACATATTGTGGAACGGTGTAGTCTCCCTATACATATGGCGGAACGTTGTTCTCGCCCCAGTACATATGGCGGAACGGTATAGCCTCCCTATACATATGGTGGAACGGTTTCCCGCCCCTATAAAAATGGGGGAACGGTGTAGTCTCCCTATACATATGGTGGAACGGTGTAGTCTCCCTATACATATGGTGGAACGGTGTAGTCTCCTTATACATATGGTGGAACGGTGTAGTCTCCTTATACATATGGTGGAACGGTGTAGTCTCCCTATACATATGGCGGAACGTTGTTCTCGCCCCAGTACATATGGCGGAACGGTATAGCCTCCCTATACATATGGTGGAACGGTTTCCCGCCCCTATACATATGGTGGAACGGTTTCCCGCCCCTATAAAAATGGGGGAACGGTGTAGTCTCCCTATACATATGGTGGAACGGTGTAGTCTCCCTATACATATGGTGGAACGGTGTAGTCTCCTTATACATATGGTGGAACGGTGTAGTCTCCTTATACATATGGTGGAACGGTGTAGTCTCCTTATACATATGGTGGAACGGTGTAGTCTCCCTATACATATGGTGGAACTGTGAACTCGCCCCTGTACACTACAGCCACTGAAATTGTCGGATTCACGTACACAATGCGGGGCAAAACGTTCATTTCGACGACGATACACACGTTGTCTTCCATCTCGCCCGAGAAGAAGAAATCGTGATTCATCGCTAAACCACACTGGTATCCAGTTTCTCAAATTCCAAGCCTGTAATGTATGGCACAAACGCAAGCGTCGCTGTCGGTGGATCTGTTGCAAAAACAGTGACGATGACTGGTCTTCTGGGTAGGATTCCAACCTCGCGAAGATGGTTCCTGACAGTCTGGTAGGATATCCTCCTCAAACCAGGGATGCGTAGTGCAGGCTCCATTGCTGTGGCATTGCGATGACGTAGGTGGAATAGTTGAATGTAGCGATCCTGTGAAGGGGTGTTAAGTCTCTGTCGGCCGGTTCTCTGACGGTCTGCAGTGGAATTGAATTGTGTGTATCGGTCCCAAAAGCGACAAATGGTGCTGTGGTTGACGTTGAAGTGGCGTACACCAGAAGACTTCGATTCCCTTCTTTGGATACGTCCTATGGCAATATTCCGATCAGTAGCGCTGAGTCTCTTAATTTTCGAACTTGAAAAATGTTGACAATTGAATGACAAATTATTGGCTTATGCTTGCCTTTTTTTAGCCACTACCACGAGTTACGAAAGCCATAACTTGCACGTGTATTTTGCTTTACTGGTTTCCTCCATGACATTTTACAACAAGTGTGAAAACAATGCCGTTTACGACATTGCAAATCGACAAATGCTGCGTTTTGACGAACCGTTTATCGAATATCAGACCACCACCATTTCTATCCAATTTATATACCGTTTTTTTTGTGTAGTCAGGTTCAATGAACTGCATACTACCTGTGCGTTTCTTTTTTTGAAGAATATATATATATATGTCTGATTGTAGGTGGCAATTCTGAATTATTGCCACTGTAATTGACTGATAATCATGTGTTTATGACGTTTCAGATTGCGATAATGGAACGTACGGAATCAACTGCTCCGGACAATGTGGTGAACGAAACTGCTCAAATGGCAACACCACTTGTGACCACGAAACAGGGGAGTGTGTTGGGGGCTGCAACGCAGGGTGGGGCGGAACAGACTGTACAAAGGGTATGTTTCATTCATGATTCAAGACGCATGTATGCATTTATAGTTCTGTTACAATTAGGGCACCGAGCGTAATAAAAGTGATATTTTTCTTTTCGAAAAAAAAAATATATATATATATACATGGAGCTGAAAGATTTAATATTTGGCTACATGCAACCCGTGAGGCCGGGTTGGAATAGGTCTTCAGCGACCCATGCTTGCTGTGAAAGGCGACTGAAGGGACGGGGTGATCAGGCTCGCTGTCTTGGTTGATGCAAATGGTTGTGTACGTGACAAGTGTCCGCACAAGGTGTGACTAATTCTTGGTGTTCGCAGGTTGTGATGCAAGCCAAGAATATGGTGCAGGGTGCAGCAGAAATTGCAGTGACCGGATGTGCGAGAAGCACAGCAACTGTTCCGAGTTGACTGGGCAGTGTGAGGGCGGATGTCAGCCAGGGTGGATGGGAGAGGACTGCTATGAACGTGAGTAGGATTAGTACATGCAGGTGTGGACCTGTTTGAAGGGAATCGTCTTTCCGAGTCGAGGGCGTTAAATGACTATAAAAGTCTAGTTTCCACCCTTGCCGAACTAGGCTGGAACTCTGGCGTTCCGTTTTGGTTGGACTAACGAGTCACAGGATCTCGTTATTGGTCAGTAAATAAAAATATATACCCCCCATATGTAAGTAGAGACTCCTTACATATGGGGTGTATATGTTTTTATTTACTGACCAATAACGAGTTCCTGTGTGCTCACGTGATATGGGAATCTAATTGGTCAAAAGGAGTTACATAGAAAGGACATAACTCTTAATAGCCACTGGTGGCGCTACGAACGATCCCAGAAATTCCAGCGTAGGTCGGTAAGGGTGGCAACTGTAATTTTACTCGGGAAGATGGAAGGGAATGTGTTATACTTCCCAGTTACTGCAATATACTTCCCAGTGACTGCAATAACGGGTCTTTGATAACTTCTGTTGTCATGAACGCATGTCATGGCTTCACAAGTCTTGGATCTGATTCCAGGATGTGGTAACAAGACGTATGGTGAAAACTGTACAGGAACTTGTGGAGAATGTCGCGATAAAACCACGTGTGATCACATCAATGGGACATGCAAGGCGGGGTGTGGTGCTGGATGGACCGGGAACCTCTGTGGTGAAAGTGAGTACCATATCCTCAATCAATGTTTATGAAATAGTCGGAATCGGAAAATGGCCTCTGCCTTTAGAAGATATATTTTATGATTATATATATACCCTTAAAAAGGTAGGGGTACTCTGCAATAACTTAAAAAATCCACAATTGTAAGAGATGTTAGTTTCAAGTAATAGTGAGTGAGTGAGTGAGTGAGTGAGTTTGGTTTAACGCCGCTTTTAACAGTATTCCAGTTATATCGCGGCGTGTCAGCTTAATGTGGGAGGAAAGCCTGAAATGATGCAGGTCTCAGACGTTTAACACTTCGGTGAAACCCACGAGCACGGATATGGTGCTGACAAACCTAGAAACATAATCGGGGCGAACCGGGATTCGAACCCACGACCATAGGTTTCTGGCGTGCCCAAGGGACGCAACTCTGCACAGCGAATCGCGGCGCATTAGACGACTGGGCCACCCGTGCCCCCTTCAAGTAATAATTGGATGACAATAATGATCAAATTGGGAACACAACCCCGTGTGAAGCATGACAGTAGATGTTAGGACCGCCAACGCTCTTAAAGACGATAGGGTTAAGATGGAAATTTCCAAGTTGACGTTTTGGATCGTGCGTAATACCGCCACGATTTGTGAAACTGCGTATGAGTCTCCGTGTGGCGACTTGAGGGAGTCTGTCCCACGCGTCTTGCAGCACCTGGCCATGTTCAACCAATGTGGTCGGTGGACTATGACGTTGACGTACACGTCTCCCTCACATGTCCCTGACGTGGTCAATGGGGGAAAGGTCTGAGCTCGCTGCTGGCCATGACATTCCATGGATGTATTCCTGTTGGAGGCGAGCAATGGCGATTTGTCAAGGCGAGCACGGGTCTCTAAAATTTTCTTTGGACGTTGCTGATTTACAGTTATCTAATACAGTTATATTTGAACTCGACTCAGTCTAATCCTGATATAGCTATCAATACTGATATAAATAACTTGTCGTTCCTCCCTATTGACTGATTCCCTTTTTACGTTTAAGAGTGCAGAAACGGTACTTTCGGCGAGGAATGTTCAGAACATTGTGGCAAGTGTGCCATTGGCGGCTGCCACCACATGAACGGGACATGTGCGGAGGGTTGTCAGACGGGGTACGAAGGAGACCAATGTCGGACAGGTAAGTAACGATGTCTTTTAAATACATGACTGTTTACTTTAACAAATAGACATGATGATGTCAACATGGTTAGCTAACGTTTACCCAAGTATTGACAACGGCCACCACGCCTGGATGTAAGTGTACTACCTTACAATGGTTTCTGCTGCAGACTCATCACAGACCATCCCGAAGACCACCATCATTGCCGCAGCAGCAGGGGGAGGATGCGCCGTTGTCGTGATTGTATTGATTATAATAGGACTGTGCATAAGGTGGGTGATTGTATTGATTAGAATAGGACTGTGCATAAGGTGCGTGATTGTATTGATTACAATAGGACTGTGCATAAGGTGGGTGATTGTATTGATTACAATAGGAATGTGCATAAGGTGGGTGATTGTATTGATTACAATAGGACTGTGCATAAGGTGCGTGATTGTATTGATTACAATAGGACTCTGCATAAGGTGCGTGATTGTATTGATTACAATAGGAATGTGCATAAGGTGGGTGATTGTATTAGTTACAATAGAAGTGTGCATAAGGTGCGTGATTGTATTGATTACAATAGGACTGTGCATAAGGTGGGCGATTGTATTGATTCCAATAGGACTGTGCATAAGGTGGGTGATTGTATTGATTACGATGAATGTGCATAAGGTGCGTGATTGTATTGATAACAATAGTACTGTGCATAAGGTGGATGATTGTATTGATTACAATAGGACTGTGCATAAGGTGGGTGATTGTTTTGATTGCAATAGTACTGTGCAAAAGATGGGTGATTGTATTGATTACAATTGTACTTTACATAAGGTTGATGATTGTATTGATTACAATAGGACTGTGCATAAGGTGGGTGATTGTTTTGATTGCAATAGTACTGTGCAAAAGATGGGTGATTGTATTGATTACAATTGTACTTTACATAAGGTTGATGATTGTATTGATTACAGTAGGACTGTGCATAAAGATAGTGATTGTATTGATTACAATACAATGTAGCAGTGTGCTTAAGGTGGGTGATTGTATTGATTACAATAGTACTGTACATAAGGTGGGTGCTTGTATTGATTACAGTAGTACTGTACATAAGGCGGGTGATTGTATTGATTACAATAGTACAATGCATAAGGTTGGTGATTGTATTGATTACAATAGTACTGTGCATAAGGCGCGTGATTGTATTGATTACAATAGTACTGTGAATAAAGATAGTGATTGTATTGATTACAATACAATGTAGCACTGTGCTTAAGGTGGGTGATTGTATTGATTACAATAGTACTGTACATAAGGTGGGTGATTGTATTGATTACAGTAGGACTGTGCATAAAGATAGTGATTGTATTGATTACAATACAATGTAGCACTGTGCTTAAGGTGGGTGATTGTATTGATTACAATAGTACTGTACATAAGGTGGATGATTGTATTGATTACAATAGGACTTTGCATAAGGTGGGTGATTGTATTGATTACAATAGTACTGTGCAAAAGGTTGGTGATTGTATTGATAACAATAGTACTGTGCATAAGGCGGGTTATTGCATTGGTTACAATAGTACTGTGCATAAGGCGGGTGATTGTATTGATTACAATAGTACTGTGCATAAGGCGGGTGATTGTATTGGTGACAATAGTACAGTGCATAAGATTGGTGATTGTATTGATTACAATTGTACTGTGCATAAGGCGGGTGATTGTATTGGTTACAATAGTACTGTACATAAGGCGGGTGATTGTATTGATTACAATAGTACAATGCATAAGGTTGGTGATTGTATTGATTACAATAGTACTGTGCATAAGGCGCGTGATTGTATTGATTACAATAGTACTGTGAATAAAGATAGTGATTGTATTGATTACAATACAATGTAGCACTGTGCTTAAGGTGGGTGATTGTATTGATTACAATAGTACTGTACATAAGGTGGGTGATTGTATTGATTACAGTAGGACTGTGCATAAAGATAGTGATTGTATTGATTACAATACAATGTAGCACTGTGCTTAAGGTGGGTGATTGTATTGATTACAATAGTACTGTACATAAGGTGGGTGATTGTATTGATTACAATAGTACTGTACATAAGGTGGATGATTGTATTGATTACAATAGGACTTTGCATAAGGTGGGTGATTGTATTGATTACACTAGTACTGTGCAAAAGGTTGGTGATTGTATTGATAACAATAGTACTGTGCATAAGGCGGGTTATTGCATTGGTTACAATAGTGCTGTGCATAAGGCGGGTGATTGTATTGATTACAATAGTACTGTGCATAAGGCGGGTGATTGTATTGGCGACAATAGTACTGTGCATAAGATTGGTGATTGTATTGATTACAATTGTACTGTGCATAAGGCGGGTGATTGTATTGGTTACAATAGTACTGTACATAAGGCGGGTGATTGTATTGGTTACAATAGTACTGTGCATAAGGCGGGTGATTGTATTGGTTACAATAGTACTGTGCATAAGGCGGGTGTTTGTATTGGTTACAATAGTAGCATGCAAAAGATGGGTGATTGTATTGATTACACTAGTACTGTGCAAAAGGCGATTCTATTAATTACAATAAAAGTATACATAATATCGTTGGAACAGGAAGTTGGAAAGATACAAAGATCAATTTAGGTACACAACAAGACACAAGTCTCTATAACGTCAGATATATTTGTATTTCAGAAGGCGCAGAAACAGGAAAACTTCTCAACTAGCTGCAAATGGATATTCTACAGTTTCCTCACAAGAGAAAGCGCCCCAGGGTACTGCACGTGTCTTGTGTTTGTTGCTTGCCCTGGAATGATATTTGTAGCCAACGACACTTATTGTTAACACTTAAATTTGTCACAACATAGGCACAAAGTAGACACAATTTACGGATAACTTCTTTAAGTTTCTGTAAAGGCGACGTCAAACAGTACAACATAGGGACGTTATGAAACTGTGTGAACCTACCTAAAACGTTGTCACGACATAGCAGTGACGTTATGAATCTATGTGAGTCATCCGGCAACGTTGTTACAATATAATAGGGACGTTATGAATCTGTGTGTCTTCCGGCAACATTGTTACTATATAATAGGGACGTTATGAATCTATGTGAGCCTTCCGGCAACGTTGTTACAATATAATAGGGACGTTATGAATCTGTGTGAGTCTTCCGGCAACATTGTTACAATATAACAGGGACGTTATGAATCTATGTGAGTCATCCGGCAACATTGTTACAATATAACAGGGACGTTATGAATCTGTGTGAGTCTTCCGGCAACATTGTTACAATATAATAGGGACGTTATGAATCTATGTGAGTCATCCGGCAACATTGTTACAATATAACAGGGACGTTATGAATCTGTGTGAGTCTTCCGGCAACATTGTTACTATATAATAGGGACGTTATGAATCTGTGTGAGTCTTCTGGCAACGTTGTTACAATATAACAGGGACGTTATGAATCTATGTGAGCCTTCCGGCAACATTGTTACAATATAACAGGGACGTTATGAATCTATGTGAGCCTTACGGCAACATTGGTACAATATAACAGGGACGTTATGAATCTGTGAAAGCCTTCCGGCAACATTGTTACAATATAACAGGGACGTTATGAATCTGTGAAAGCCTTCCGGCAACGTTGTAACAATATAATAGGGACGTTATGAGCCTATGTGAGTCTTCCGGCATCGTTGTTACAATAGAACAGGGACGTTATGAGCCTATATGAGCCTTCCGGCATCGTTGTTACAATATAACAGGGACGTTTTGAGCCTATGTGCGTCTTCCGGCAACGTTGTACAATCTAGCAGTGACGTTATAAGTCTATGTGAGCTAACGTGCTCGTAATGCATGCATTGAAATACACACGTTATGATAAAAACGGTTGGACATGTGGGAAGTAACTTCTGTCAGGGGAAGTGGGTTATCCTAGTGGTTAAAGCGTTCGCGCGTCACTCCGAAGACCCGGGTTCGAATCCCCACATGGGTACAATCTGTGAAGCCCATTTCTGTTGTCCCCCGCCGTGATTTTGCTGAACTATTGCTAAGAGCGGCATAAACCATACCCACTCACTCACTTTCCCTTTACAGGGCCAACTAGTTAATCAGGATGTCATTATTCGCATTAAAACATGTGATTTAACAAATGTGTAGAATAAGCAAGCACGGGTATGGTTCAGGTTCATATAAATACGGATATTCCGGACTAACGAGGTTGAACTGTATATCATTTAATTCTCATTCTATAGATGCACCTCCAGTTGTGTACAGCAATGTGACATTCACGGGCGAAGGAGAGGATTTAGATGACAATGTCAAGGAGGAGGAACAAGGCGATGCTGCTGATAAGCGAGTTGATGAGGTTGACGAAGTTGTTGAGGTGGATGAAGTTGAAGCTGTGGTAGAGGATGTTGATGGAGACGTGGACCACCAAGAGATGGAAGAGCCAGATGGGGACAGCACCTACTACAACCTGGAGAGTCCCCCTCTCAACACTGAGGTGGGGGTGGACAAGCTGGGGGACAGGATCAAGGAGATGCAGGCCACTAAGTATGGATTCCAGAAGGAATTCCGGGTGTGTATATTTGTGCCTTAAGCTCCCAAAGAGAAACTATTGCAATACTAACAGAAGCATATATTGGGCGATAAATTAGCTCAGCTGTGCATATGGTTATTTGTAAAGTCAATAGTCCTGTATGTACGTCTTCCTTTTATGTTTCCCTACAATTACTACACACGCTCATTATATTAACTCCATCATAGAAAACTGCAATCCAACGAAATCAAAATTCACTGATCTCTGAATGTTTGACTCAACGTTCGTTCCACACGAAAAGGGCGTTAATTCCATGTTCATGACAAAGTTTGTGAGGACCTGTTACATTCTGGTTCTTCTTGGTAGCTGTTGTTCGTCGGCTTCACGAGGCCATACGGAGTTTCACAGCAAGATGGACACCAAGGAAAGAACAGGTTCCAAGGGTACTACCCATGTAAGTGATAAATATCTTTAGTGATTCACTCATTACATGTCCTTCACTATGTGACGTTGTATCTGTTAGAGGATATTTCAGGATGGTTATTCTCTGGTGTTGACGTTTTGAACCTATACTCAAGAACAAAAAGTCCTGTGGCACCAATATTTTAGTGGATTGTTCAATATTGTAGTACATGTGTGGAATCAAGTCTGCTACAGAAAAGTATGCATTCTATGCAAAAGACGACTTTTATGCAAGCCCCAGGCATTTCACTGCCAAAGAATGTGTATAAAAACATGTGTGTTGTTTAGCATCGTGCTGACAACAACCACTCAGAAAAACGACAAAATAATTCAACATTACGAAATGCCACGCCTGTCCGAACGTGACGGTGTTCACATGCTATGGAAGTACCTGCTGTATTTCATGTGGTTATATCCAGGTCCATAGATGTAGGTGTTAACACGGTATTGAAGTACTTGCTGTCTGTCATGTGGTTATATCCAGGTCCACACACGACGGTGTTCACATGCTATGGAAGTACCTGTTGTATTCATGTGGTTATGTCCAGGTCCACACAAGACGGTGTTCACATGCTATGGAAGTACCTGTTGTATTTCATGTGGTTATATCCAGGTCCACACATGACGGTGTTCACATGCTATGGAAGTACCTGTTGTATTTCATGTGGTTATGTCCAGGTCCACACATGACGGTGTTCACATGCTATGGAAGTACCTGTTGTATTTCATGTAGTTATATCCAGGTCCACACATGACGGTGTTCACATGCTATGGAAGTACCCTTTGTATTTCATGTGGTTATAGTCAGGTCCACACATGACGGTGTTCACATGCTATGGAAGTAGATGTTGTATTTCATGTGGTTATGTCCAGGTCCACACATGACGGTGTTCACATGCTATGGAAGTAGCTGTTGTATTTCATGTGGTTATATCCAGGTCCACACATGACGGTGTTCACATGCTATGGAAGTAGCTGTTGTATTTCATGTGGTTATGTCCAGGTCCACACATGACGGTGTTCACATGCTATGGAAGTACCTGTTGTATTTCATGTGGTTATGTCCAGGTCCACACAAGACGGTGTCACATGCTATGGAAGTACCTGCTGTATTTCATGTGGTCATAGCCAGGTCCACACAAGACGGTGTTCACATGCTATGGAAGTACCTGTTGTATTTCATGTGGTTATGTCCAGGTCCACACAAGACGGTGTCACATGCTATGGAAGTACCTGCTGTATTTCATGTGGTCATAGCCAGGTCCATAGATGTAGGTGTTGACACGGTATTGAAGTACCCTCTGTATTTCAGATGATTATAACCGGGTCCTGCTGTCCAAGTCTTCGGATGATCCGCACTCTCACTACATCAATGCCAGCTATATTGATGTAAGCAGCATTAGTCCACGCTTACGCTCACCGCAGTTGTCTATACTAGTATGTCATATACATGTAAACCAATAACGTGTTGTGTGTTTGTGTAACACGGTATTGATATAAATGTGTGAAAAGAGAAGTAGGATTCAGTGAATACTGTTATATACTATTCCAAAAAAAGAGAAGATCGGATGGTCATGCTCGGGGACTGACAGTGACATAACCTGGTCGATTGTATGTCATCGTGTCCCATTATCATTCATTGATGTTCGACCCGTGAAGATCCGGAGTAGAATAGGTCTTCAGTAACCCATGCTTGCCGCAAGAGGCGACTATGCTTGTCGTGAGAGACAACTAACGGGATCGGGTGGTCAGGCTCGCTGACTTGGTTGATGCATGTCATCGTATCTCAATTGCGTGGATCGATGCTGATGATATCAATCACTGGGTTGTCTGGTCCGGGATCGATTATCTACAGACCGCCGTCATATAGCTGAGATGTTGCTGTTCACGCTTGTGATCAGGCGAATACAAACAATCTGATGAAATATATCTGACATAATGACTGTAACGACATTCGCTCACTATTAATGATAGAAGTTCCATTGTATAAGGATAAATGAACTTACCGCATAGTGTACTGTGTATTGACAACTGTCGTTTTCCCGCAGGGATTCACGCAGAAGAAGGCGTATATTGCAGCACAAGGTGAGCAACTGTAAATTATATATTGGAAATGTAAGTGGATACTGTATGGGCATTTACAAGTCCGATGCCACGCTAGGATAATTATTATGGATAACAACTTATTTATTATACATACACCTATCCATAACATGTGAGTCATGTGTACTAAGTGTAACTGAGTGTTTAACGTAAATTACAGTAAACTACGTTTATAACGAACACGCTTATTACGAACTGACCGATCTAACAAACTTATTTTATAGTTCCGGCCATTTGTTGTATAAATGCTGTACATATGCTTATAACGAACTACGGTTATAACGAACTAAGCATTTAACTGTACTTTTATAACAAATATGCTTATAAGTAACTGGCGGATAAAACAAACTCTTGTTGGTCCCGTGCGTTTGCTGTATATATGCTTATAAACTACGTTTATAAAGAACTAAAATTAGTGGTCCCTTTGAGTTCTTTATAACCGTAGTTTACTGTACTTTGTTTCTTGTATACGAGACACGTTATAGTTTTCCTGTTCGTCACTTACTGATAAGGGATTCAGTATATTCAGTATATCATAAATTTGTTGTCGTGTTCGCAGCCCCAAACACGCAGACTGTTTGTGATTTCTGGAGGATGATCTGGGAGATTAACTGCTCAAGGATTGTGATGCTGACAAATCTGGTTGAAACCGGCAAAGTACATATTCCAGCACAATAAGTTTGTATAATTGTTCACAATAATTCTTGTATGAATCCGGAGAGACGGACAGGAGTCCTTTCGGTGATAGTATCCATTCAGAATGTTTCATTACACCATCTAAAATTCGAGAACCCAATGTGACTATCAGCAATGAGTGAGTATGGTTTATGCCGCTCTTAGCAATAGTTCAGCAATATCACGGCGCGGCACACCAGAAATGGGCTTCACACATTGTACCCATGTGGGAAATCGAACCCGAGTGTTCGGCGGAACCAGCGAACGCTTTAACCACTAGGCTACCGCCCCGCCCCTATCAACAACTAACGAACGTCTCTAAGGTGGCCACAGACTATATGGAAGAACTTGCAATACACATTGTTGTTGTTTAACGCTTCACTCGGCAATATTCCGGCTAATCGAGTCTGGACACTTCATTGACTGACATCATGAACATCGGTCTTCCCAACTGGGATGCGATGACATGTATCAACCAGCCAATCCCGTTACTCGCCTCATTCGACAAGCATGGGTTGCTGAAGATCAATTTTAACCCGGATCTTCACGGTGCAGATACAGATAGCCATACTAGATATGTTATAGCATGTACCTTCAATGCTACATTTGTCATTACAGGAAGGAAGTATATTATTCATGACATGTCGTGTGTTTCATGTAAAGGCGTGATGGGTGTAGCTATGTGGTTTAAAGCTTCCGCTCGTTATGCGCAAGGTCCGATTCCGTTTCCCCCCATGTATAATATGGGAAGCCTATTTTTGTCCCCAGCTGTGATATTTTAGGAATTTGCTAAAACTGCGTTCGCACTTCTCACTGACTGTTAAAATGAATACAGTTATATTTGTTAAACGAGTCCCTTTGACAAAGGCAAAACTGTAGGTCATTCATAAAATATCAATATTCCATAATGAACCATATGATGTATAATTGAATCATCCAACATAACAGGTGTGTTACATAATCTATTAATTTTAACAATGCTTAATACTGGCATGAGGGGGCACGGGTGGCCCAGTCGTCTAAGGCGCCGCGATTCGCTGTGCAGAGTTGCGTCCCTTGGGCACGCCAGAAACCTATGATTGTGGGTTCGAATCCCGGTTCGCCCCGATTATGTTTCTAGGCTTGTCAGCACCATACCCCTGCTCGTGGGTTTCACCGAAGTGGTAAACGTCCGAGACCTGCATCACTTCGGGCTTTCCTCCCACATTAAGCTGACACGCCGCGATATAACTGAAATACTGTTAAAAGCGGCGTTAAACCCAACTCACTCACTCACTAATACTGGCATGAAGTTCCATCCCCTATTGTGATATCCATGTCTTGGCATATTTCAGGTGAAATGCGAACCCTACTGGTTGGACAAGGGTGACCTGGATGTAGGCCTCTTCACCATCTCTGTCACGAAGATCTGCCACAGATCACACTGGATCATCAGGGACCTCGAAGCAAAATCTAAAGAGGTGATTTGTATATTTAATTGTTTCATTTGATATATAACCTACAATCTGGTTCCTAATTTGAGCCAAATGGATGTGTTTTGTGTCTCCTGTTAATTGCCAGTTGGAGGTATGTTTTTGTAAATGAAACAAAGTCAGTGTATTCACTGGCAGTAACATATGCAAGTCAACACGAACATTGGCTCTCTTGAGGAGAATATGTCCCTAGAACCCAATGCGTTTCATTATTGCATGTCATCGTACCCCGACGGCGTTGAAAGTTGGACATAACCATCTGGTCTGCCCGATCCATACTTGAACATTTCGGGTCTTCATGACATAGCTTGGATATTGCTGTCAACCGCATATGAAAATTAACTTACTCACTCACCCAATTCCAGACAGGAAACAGTCGTCATTTCCAACAGTTTCACTTCATTACCTGGCCGGACCATGGCACACCCGACAGTACGGCTCTTATGGAATTCCTGTGGCGGATCAGGGCAACACCCAATCCACAAGGCAGTCCTCTGCTCGTTCATTGCAGGTAGGACACCCGATCCACAATGCAGTCCTCTGCTAGGTTAGCCTAGTGGTTAAAGCTTTCGGTCGTCAAGCCGAAGACCCGGGTTCGATTCCCGACATGTGTACAATGTATGAAGCAAATGTCTGGTGTACATCGCCGTGATATTGCTGGAATATTGTTAACAGCGGCGTAAAACCATACTCAATCACCTAATCCACAAGACAGTTCCTTCATGAAGGGCACAAGTCTATCTACCCGTGCACTGCAGGACTGGTGTACCGTCAGTCACAAAACAAATATTTTTAGTTTAACAAATTATATTTTACTTCTGATAATGTATACCAATAAACTGTATGAGGTATGATCCATTCCACATAAAAAGACTGGTATTTTGGTATATTTTCTAAATTCCAAAAGGGGTATAATTTTTGGGATATTCGTGCTTTACCATGTACTCCCAGACCTACTCTTGAAGCGAGGTCAATTATATATTCAACAGCCAGTATGTTCAGTAGTGTGATGCATGGTTTTGATACAGTGGTACGACATGTCCTTTAAGACCCATGAAGATCCGAAGTAGAACAATTCTTCAGCAATGCATGCTTGCAATAACAGGCGACTATGTTTATCGTAAGAGGTGACTTGGTTGATGCATGTTATCGTATCCCAATAGTGTGGATCGATGCGAATGATGTCAATCACTGGATTGTCTGTCCAGACTCGATTATTTACGGACCGCCGTCATATAGCTGGGATATCGCCGAGTGCGGCGTTAAACAACAAACAAACAAACAATCCAAACTAATGCCTTAAACCAAACAAAGCTACAATAACGTTTAGCTATAATAATTGTATTCAGTGAAGGTAGTCGTGATGGCTATGTTTCACTGTGTGTCTATTGCTGTCTAGCGCTGGTATCGGGCGGACAGGGACGTACATCGCTATGGACTACCTGCTGGACCAGGCTCTGGCTGACCGGAAGCTGGATGTGTTCGGGTTTGTGACACAGATGAGAGATCAAAGAAAGGGGATGGTGCAGACAAAGGTAGGCGGCAGGTCATCTTCCCTGTTCGTATTCGGGTCAGACCAGGTCCCCAGGTCCTCATTCCATTGTAGGAGTCAAGCTGTAAGCATCTTGTGGACGGCTCTGTCGCTTTGCTGACTGTGTGTCACAGTGTCATCGTAGTATCAATCTCTGTTTGGTCCAGGCTCGATTATTTACAGACCGTCGTTAAATAACAGGAGTATATCTGATTGCAACGTTAAATAAAAACAAACAACATGGTGCGTTGCGAGCAATTCACAAAGATTGTGTGGATATTCATAAATTCATATATGCATATTTCAAACTCTCATTTCCTAAATACTATACTATTGTTGGTGTTCATCAGGAGCAGTATGCATTTATATACACAACGCTTCACCAAGCTCTGACATTCGGTGACACGGCCATGGACGTGTCTGAATTCCGCCACAAGAGGTCCACGAACAAGACATTTCCTATGGGATCCATGGATATCAGAGTCTTCTTGGAGGTACTAATGTTGCATTGTCCATAAGGACAATTCACCCTTTTTGAAAGCTTAAAAAATATGTTATTAACTTATTTTTTCTATAATAATTACTGAACGGAAGTAAAAGGAAAATTACCTTGGCATGAACAACAAAATAAGATTGCTTTCAGCTGCTAATGTATCCATTTTGAATGAAGGTTGGTTTTCATTTAATAAGTTTTTAAGCATTGATACAACTCGTGTTTTAATGCATTTACTCAAAGAACGTGTTGTGTACTTTCAGCGAGCAAACCAGGAAATCAAGATCGCATCATCGGGTAAATAAATATCCATCTTATTACGATAAGAGCCCACCAGTGTGGTTTTACTCTGCTTTGAACATTATCCCAGCAATGTCACGGCGAGGGTGATCAGCAATGGAACTCACACATACCCATGTGGGGAATCGAACCCCAGACTACGGTATGACGTGCTTACGCCACGACCGGCCCGAATATGTTAGGTGTTTTGATGGCGATGACGAGGACACCTGTTGTCGACACTGGTATTCCATTCTTATAATTTCTACCGCCATTTTGTCCTTTAAGCCCAGTTGAATCTGATTCTGCAGATAATTCAGACTGAAAATTCTATGGCGTTAACGCTTTGAATAGCGAATGACGGGTGTTACCGTTGGGGAACGTCATGTTTACCCTTTTCGCGAACACCTGGTGTCATCACACACACACACACACACACACACACACACACACACACACACACACACACACACACACACACACACACACACACACACACACACACACACACCTCCCTTCAAACTGTGCATGGTTGTGGTATACACATCTGCACACACACTTGCTCTGAGGAAATGGACGTGAAAATTGGCAGGGGCATCATCTTGTCTCTTGGATTTGTGTTAGGTGAGGTGTATTTGTCAGGACGAGTTGAGGTGTATTTGTCAGGGCGAGTTGAGGTGATTTGTCAGGGCGAGTTGAGGTGTATTTGTCAGGGCGAGTTGAGGTGATTTGTCAGGGCGAGTTGAGGTGTATTTGTCAGGGCGAGTTGAGGTGTATTTGTCAGGGCGAGTTGAGGTGTGTTTGTCAGGGCGAGTGGAGGCGTATTTGTCAGGGCGAGTGGAGGCGTATTTGTCAGGGCGAGTGGAGGTGTATTTGTCAGCGCGAGTGGAGGTGTATTTGTCAGGGCGAGTGGAGGCGTATTTGTCAGGGCAAATGGAGGTGTATTTGTCAGGGCGAGTGGCGGTGTATTTGTCAGGGCGAGTGGAGGCGTATTTGTCAGGGTGGTATATTAACCAATTCTGTTTAACGAAAGTAATCTCTGTCGTTTGCATCCAGCCAAGGAGACTAAAGGCAGGATATGGTTAGATGAGAAGAAGGACATCTGGGCCGTCTCGTCACCGGTGAGTACAATTGTTGCAACAGACACATGCTACGGTGTGTTTCAATGAACGGTCTGGGTACGATTAGGCAGCTTGAAAAACTGAGCGTATTACTGACACAAATATTTAATACAACTCATATTTGCATGTAAACGTCATGTGCTTGTGACACACAGGATCTATGAATATATAATGTGATTGTCAATCAATAATTGTATCAGCGTATCACATAGTTCTTCAGCAACCCATGCTTGTCGTAAAAAGTAACTATGCTTGTCGTGAGAGGCGACTAACGGGATCGGGTGGTCAGGCTCACTGACTTTCTCTATGCTTGTCATCGTATCCCAATTGCGTGGGTCGATGCTCATAATGTCAATCACTGGATTATCTGATTCAGACTCGATTATTTACAGACCGCCGTCACATAGCTGCAATATTGATGAGTGAGGCGTAAAACAAAAAAAACCAAAACAAATATATGTTAATAAACAGAGTAATGTCTGGTGTATAAGTAGCTAATGTTTATATTCCTGTAGTCAAGGCTGTGTGTGAGAGGCTATGTCGTCACGGAGGTTCCATCGACAACGACGTCTCCTCTATTCTGGAGGCTCACGGAGGACACGCGGTCGACAAATGTCATAACAATGCTACTGAATTTCAAGGTAATAGTGGACACAAAATGTCAATGAATTAAAAAATGTAAAATAATTTCAACTTCGGATATGAAATAGTTGCATGACAAACTCATATTGGTTTATGTTACAGAATGTGGAACATTTTCTTTCTACCCCTGGGAACAACCTTGACCTCAACTCAGTCAATGTCAACTGCATCGGAGAGACCAACGTCAATCCTGACATCACCCTGAGGAACTTCAAGATTCAGACTAGGGTGAGGGTCGGTCGGGTAGCCTAGTTGTTAAAGCGTTCGCTCGTCCCGCCGAAGACCCGGGTTCGATTCCCGACATGGGCACAATTGTGTGAAGCCAATTTCTGGTTTCCCCCGCCGGGATATTGCTGAAATATTGCTAAAAGCGACGTAAAACCATACTCACTCACTCAGACTAGAGTAAGAAACAGTTCGGGACTTGTTTGTAGACAATAATAGACTTGCCTGACAGTAATGTATCAACATGAAGGATTTTATATTGAATATTCTTTCATACAGGGTTCTTCAACACCGACGTCAGTGGACGTGTACCTCATGCACCAATTGTCTACAGTCTCCCATTCCTCTCTGCTTGAACTCATGGAAGCTATTGACCTTTCTGCAACGGGAGATAATTCACTTCCGGTCACGGTTGTGTTCAGGTGCGCAGTGACTTTTAACATTTAGCATAGGATTCCGAGGAAATGTAAATAATAAAATTATCGCATTATATGACCATTCAAAAGATCTTTTTAACCACCTTAAAGTGTGTCTGTATTTCAGCGAGGCAACGCGGCGGCAAGCTATTCTTTTCTGCATCCTCAACAACATCATTCAAGGTGTGAAGCATGACAGCACAGTAGAGATCTACAACAACATCAGATACATGACTCACCTCCTCCAAGACAACGTCACAGTGGTATGTAGATACTTATATTACTGACCCATATGCAGCATACCCGACTGGAGAAACACTGCTTTGGCAGCATCAGGGAAGAGGGCACTATCGTGACTATTGATCATGAGGTAGTGAGTTGGGTTTTGCAGCAATATCATGGCGATGAAATACCATAATGGGCTTCACATGTTGTACCCATGTGAACAATCAAACCCGGGCCTGATGCGAGACGAGCGAACACTTTAGCCACAAGGCTACCCTACCAGCCTGTCGTGTTGAGATAGAATGTAGTAACTAGGTTTGATTTGTACACATAGATTCTTTTCTCATTGAAGAGACACATTTCCTTCAAGATTGTATGTCATAAACTAAGACGCTAAGGGGCAGTTCAACTAAAACAATGTGTTCATGATCATGATGTTAAACTGCACTGTCACCGTATTGAACGGTGATTTTATCATGCATACCCACCAATGGTAAACAAGGCATGATGTCCTTTGTTAAGCATCAATTACCTTGTGTCGTGTTTAAACTCTTTTGGCGTTGTTCATTACTGTATCGTCCCTTTCAGGAGGACGTATCGCTATGTTTTGATGTTGCCTCAGCCTACCTGGACCCGGAGAGTGTCTATGCTAACTTGTAAAGCTTCTCATGCGTACATACACCGTGAGAGTCAACGTTAACTTGTACAGCTATACACATGTACATTCTCAGAGAGAGTCTACGCTGACCTGTACAACTACACACACATGTACATATTCACAGAGAGTCTACGCTAACTTGTAAAGCTCCCTACGTGTACACACACCCAGAGACAGTCTATGCTAACTGTACAACTACAAACACATGTATATACTCAGGGAGTGTCTGTGCTAACTTGTAAAGCTCCCCACGTGTACATACTCAGAGAGTGTCTATGCTAACTTGTAAGGCTCCCCACGTGTACATACTCAGAGAGTGTCTATGCTAACTGCACAACTACACACGCATGTGCATACTCAAAGAGTGTCAAATGCTAACTTGTAAAGCTCCCCACGTGTACACACTCACAGAAAGTCAATGCTAACTGCACAACTACACACACATGTATATACTCAGAGAGTGTCTATGCTAACTTGTAAGGCTCCCCACGTGTACATACTCAGAGAGTGTCTATGCTAACTGCACAACTACACATGCATGTACATACTCAGAGAGTGTCTATGCTAACTTGTAAGGCTCCCCACGTGTACATACTCAGAGAGTGTCTATGCTAACTGCACAACTACACACGCATGTACATACTCAGAGAGTGTCTATGCTAACTTGTAAAGCTCCCCACGTGTACACACTCAGAGAAAGCCAATGCTAACTGCACAACTACACACGCATGTACATACTCAGAGAGTGTCTATGCTAACTTGTAAGGCTCTCCACGTGTACATACTCAGAGAGTGTCTATGCTAACTCCACAACTACACACGCATGTACATACTCAGAGAGTGTCTATGCTAACTTGTAAAGCTCCCAACGTGTACACACTCAGAGAAAGTCAATGCTGACTGCACAACTACACACGCATGTATATACTCAGAGAGTGTCTATGCTAACTTGTAAAGCTCCCCACGTGTACACACTCAGAAAAAGCCAATGCTGACTGCACAACTACACACACATGTACATACTCAGAGAGTGTCTATGCTAACTAGTAAAGCTCCCCACGTGTACACACTCAGCGAGTGTCTATGCTGACTGCACAACTACACACGCATGTGCATACTCAGAGAGTGTCTATGCTAACTGCACAACTACACGCGCATGTACATACTCAGAGAGTGTCTATGCTAACTAGTAAAGCTCCCCACGTGTACACACTCAGCGAGTGTCTATGCTGACTGCACAACTACACACGCATGTGCATACTCAGAGAGTGTCTATGCTAACTGCGCAACTACACGCGCATGTACATACTCAGAGAGTGTCTATGCTAACTTGTAAAGCTCCCCACATGTACATACACAGAGGGTATCTATGCTAACTTGTAAATGTGCCTATATTTACACACACACAGTCTATGTCAACTTGCATGCCAAACTATTCACATCTACATGCTCAGAACGTCTGTGCCAACTGGTAAGGCTGTAGTGTATACGTACACAGAGAGGTAATGTCAACTTGTTAAAGCTGCCTTCACACGCAGAGGTTATGCTAAGGTGTACAGCTACCAACGTGTATACACACAGTCTATGTCAACTTGTTAAAGCTGCCTTCACACGCAGAGGTTATGCTAAGGTGTACAGCTACCAACGTGTATAAACACAGTCTATGTCAACTTGTTAAAGCTGCCTTCACACGCAGAGGTTATGCGAAGGTGTCAAACCACCCACATGTATAAACACAGTCTATGTCAACTTGCACAGCTGCGTTCACACAGAGTTAATGTCAACTAGTACAGCTGCCTTCATGTACATAGTCTATGCTAACTTGTAATTCTGTCCCCACACACAACGTTTATAGCAACAATGAAAAGGAAAACCCGAACGAGCCATTTTCCGTGAAAGTTTTTTTTAATACAAGAGACATATGTCTTGAGAAAATAGTCTTCATCAAATGTAAGATGTCATGAAAATACGAGTTTCGTTTTGAACTATCGCAGGGAGTGAACTTCGTATTGTGATAAATTTAATCAAAATGCATTATTGCTTAAATTTGTATGGAGTGTGCCAGACAACTCTTTAAATTGAATGTTTCTGCACAGAAATATAATAAAAAAAGTTTCAAATCCTTGACTGGTGTGGCCACATTTCTCCCTTATGAACATTTTGGAGCTATGGAATTACGTTAAAGAATTAGCTTGAGTACGGTGTACATATATAACCGCACAAGCTTTTGCCCTAATTTCAATCCTTTGTTCATGATCAAGGAACGTTGTTCAGGGTACCTTTATTTACACCATAAGTACATGTATGTCATCACATTATCAGGCGGTGGCCGGTATGCTACACGTAGTGTTGTACAGTTCCGTGACAGAGACGTATATATTACAGGGTGTGGTTCCTTCCTGTACAATGATAATCCGGAAAAGAGAGACTTGACCTCAACTGAGAACGATGTTATCTGCCTAAATGCCGTAATGAAGGGTAGATGCTCTTCGTGTAGATGGGAGAACAAAGCAGTGAAGATATCGCGTGTCAAGGGCGTATAATGCGTCACAACACACGGCTCACACGTGTTTGGGCATCCTTGATGTATCTAGGCGTATAATGCATCATACGACACAGCCCACGTGTTGGTACATCCGTGATGTATCCTCGGCGTACAATGCATCATAACACACTGAGCCGTGTCAGTATATCCTTGATGTATCTAGGCGTATAATGCATCATACGACACAGCCCACGTGTTGTTACATCCTTGATGTATCCTCGGCGTACAATGCATCATAACACACTGAGCCGTGTCAGTATATCCTTGATGTATCTAGGCGTATAATGCATCATACGACACAGCCCACGTGTTGGTACATCCTTGATGTATCCTCGGCGTACAATGCACCATAACACACTGAGCCGTGTCAGTATATCCTTGATGTATCTAGGCGTATAATGCATCATACGACACAGCACACGTGTTGTTACATCCTTGATGTATCCTCGGCGTACAATACATCATAACACACTGAGCCGTGTCAGTATATCCTTGATGTATCTAGGCGTGTAATGCATCATACGACACAGCACACGTGTTGTTACATCCTTGATGTATCCTCGGCGTACAATACATCATAACACACTGAGCCGTGTCAGTATATCCTTGATGTATCTAGGCGTATAATGCATCATACGACACAGCCCACGTGTTGGTACATCCTTGATGTATCCTCGGCGTACAATGCATCATAACACACTGAGCCGTGTCAGTATATCCTTGATGTATCCTCGGCGTACAATACATCATAACACACTGAGCCGTGTCAGTATATCCTTGATGTATCTAGGCGTATAATGCATCATACGACACAGCCCACGTGTTGGTACATCCTTGATGTATCTAGGCGTACAATGCACCATAACACACTGAGCCGTGTCAGTATATCCTTGATGTATCTAGGCGTATAATGCATCATACGACACAGCCCACGTGTTGGTACATCCTTGATGTATCCTCGGCGTACAATGCACCATAACACACTGAGCCGTGTCAGTATATCCTTGATGTATCTAGGCGTATAATGCATCATACGACACAGCCCACGTGTTGGTACATCCTTGATGTATCCTCGGCGTACAATGCACCATAACACACTGAGCCGTGTGTTATGATGCATTACACACAATTCTTGATATATCCTTGATGTATGTAGGGTTTGTAATGCATCTTAACACATGGCTCACGCGTGTTGGTACATCCTAGATGTATCTGGGGCGTACAATGCATCTTAACACATGGCTCACGCGTGTTGGTACATCCTTGATGTATCTGGGGCGTACAATGCATCTTAACACATGGCTCACGCGTGTTGGTACATCATTGATGTATCTGGGGCGTACAATGCATCTTAACACATGGCTCACGCGTGTTGGTACATCATTGATGTATCTATGGTGTACAATGCATCTTAACACATGGCTCACGCGTGTTGGTACATCCTTGATGTATCTGGGGCGTACAATGCATCTTAACACATGGCTCACGCGTGTTGGTACATCATTGATGTATCTATGGCGTACAATGCATCTTAACACATGGCTCACGCGTGTTGGTACATCCTTGATGTATCTGGGGCGTACAATGCACCTTAACACATGGCTCGTGCTCGTTGGTACATCCTTGATATATAGGTGTATACTCGATGTATATAGGGTGTATAATGCATCATAAGACACTGCTCGCGCGTGTTGGTATATCCTTGATGTATCTGGGGCGTACAATGCATTATACCACACGGCTCACGCATGTTGGTATATCCTTGATATATAGGGTGTACCCTTGATGTAAATAGGGTGTATAATGCATCATAACACACAGATGAGACGTGTCAGTATATCCTTGATGTATCTATGGCGTATAATGCATCATAAGACACAGCACACGTGCTGGTACATTCTTGATGCATCTAGGCCGTATAATGCATCATAAATATACATTGTCAATGGAAGAGAATAACCTGTCTAGATTATCAACCGAAACAGATTAAAATTTGGTGCAAAGGGCGAAATAGCTCTGAAAATAATGTGAATGACACACAAAATATCAGTGATGACACCAGGCGAGCGTGACCTGCCCTACCGGTAGCAGCCGTTAATCACAGAAGTTGCATAAATTAGTATTTACTGCCCGAATTCGCACAGCAGTACTCATGCAACGCGACGTCGGCCTGTCAACAAACCAGACAATCAAGTGATTGATAAACCAGAAAAGCCAGCGCACCTACTATTATAATTTTGCATTACGTCCGCTGTTTACAAGTGCAAAGATTCTGCTACTTAAAGGAAAGCGTTTAAGAAATATACATATGTGTGTGTGTGTGTGTGTGCGCGCGCGCGTGTGTGTGTGATGCTGTATGTTGTCAACTTTCCTGACAACCTGCCGAGAAAGCGAGTGAGCGAGTTCGATTTATTTGAACAGTATTTTAGTAATCTCAAGACGAAGTGGGATAAAAGACCGATTATCGATTTCGTGAAAATTGACGTCAGATGTAATTCCCTATATTGACTTGAACCATAAGTTAATGTGTTTTTTCAGGTGAACATTTGACTTCCCTTGGCATGTGTTTGTGACGGATGCCACCGGTGTGGCAGGATACGCTCACCTTTTCGCGAACGCCTGGTATTAGCACTATTTGACAGTGATTCATAAACATCTGCTCATCATGTAGTCGGAATCCTACAATCGACTCTGCTTTATGCAGAGATTTCTTGCGACTATGGGAAGGGGTTATGTGCCGCGTTTATGTTATTTACTAACTTTATAATAATATATAACTGATTAATATTTCTGATTAGTCAGGTAATAATCTATAAGCGTGATCAAACAGCTTATTTTGGGGACAGGATGTTTTCATTTTCCCAGAAGGAAAATATTGCTATACTTTGCATTTATTATAAACGCATCTGTTCGGTTCAATAAACATCATTATTGGTGTCTTCCGTTTACAAAACTTTATCAAATCCCAACCCTGATAAGACTGACGTTTTGAATGATGAAGTAATACAACGTCCATGACTAATGCACGTGTCAGTAAATTCGTTCCACGGTCAGTAAGCAGGGTTTAAAAGCTACCTGACGTTGTAACAACTACCTGACCACAGAGGACATTTTCCTTTCCAAAGA